TCCCGGGCCAGCCTGTTCCAGGGTCTGAGAACCCTTTCAGTGAAGAAGTATTTCCTGGCATCCAATCATCCTCCCCTGGAGTAACTTAAGGCCATTTCCTCTTGTTCTACCACTAGTTACCTGGGAGAAAAGACACACCCCCACCTCTCTACACCCTCCTTTCAGAGAGTTGGAGAGATCAAGGTCTCCCCTCAGCCTCCTTTTCTCCAGGCTCAACAACCCCAGTTCCCTCAGCCGGGAACTCATCCCACTTGTGCTCCAGACCCTTCCCCAGCTCCGCTGCCCTTCCCTGGACACGCTCCAGCACCTCCATGGCCTTCTTGGAGTGAGGGACCGAACACTGAACCCAGCACTCGGGCGGCAGCCTCACCAGTGCCCAGCACAGGGGGAAGAGACCTCCCCAGATGGCTCTGCCCACGCTGCTCCTGATCCAGGCTTCGCCCACTCTCACACTCATTCCCTAAACCCTCCTGCAGCCTCTTTTGTCCCACCTTCCCCACGGAGCCCTCCCCACGGCCATGGGAGTGAAGTCTCGAGGCACAGGGAGCAGCACAGGACCCCTCCTGTGCCCCCCGCACGCCCCAGACCCTCTCCTGCCCCTCAGATCCCACGGCCGGGCCCCACTGCTGCTGCTCCCTTCCAAAGGGCTTCCCCAAAATTCTCCGGCATCGCTTGGGCACGTGCTGGACTCAGTCAGCCAAAATCCCCGCTCTGGAGATACTGACAGGGAAAGGGAAAGGGAAAGGGAAGGGGAAAGGGGAAGGGAAGGAAAGGAAAGGAAAGGAAAGGAAAGGAAAGGAAAGGAAAGGAAAGGAAAGGAAAGGAAAGGAAAGGAAAGGAAAGGAAAGGAAAGGAAAGGAAAGGAAAGGAAAGGAAAGGAAAGGAAAGGAAAGGAAAGGAAAGGAAAGGAAAGGAAAGGAAAGGAAAGGAAAGGAAAGGAAAGGAAAGGAAAGGAAAGGAAAGGAAAGGAAAGGAAAGGAAAGGAAAGGAAAGGAAAGGAAAGGAAAGGAAAGGAAAGGAAAGGAAAGGAAAGGAAAGGAAAGGAAAGGAAAGGAAAGGAAAGGAAAGGAAAGGAAAGGAAAGGAAAGGAAGAAAGGGAAAAAGGAGAAAAGGAAAAGGGGAAAGGGGAAAGGGCCATTCTGCACCAGCACCCAGTTGTGCCGGTGACACAGTGGGACCCCAGCACATCCCTCCTGGGACAGGTCGAGGTGGCCAGCCAGGCTGAGGTGGCCACCTCCTGTCCTGGTCAGCACCGCTCTGCGGTGCTTTAGTGGTGCAACAGATGGTCTATGCAACATTTTGCCTGTGGGGTCCTGAGCATTAATTAGACTCAATTGGTTGGGTATTAAAAAGCTGCCTGCAATTGAGAGATAAAGTGCTCGTGGCTGTGGGGGCACAGGGGGGGGACTGTGCGAGATCATTTCACAGGCTTTATTGTGCACTCATAGAGCAACACAGCTGGAATATGGATGTGGGCTCTACGTGGGGAAGCCTCCATCGTGAGTCACAACCCCTGCAGCTGCTGTGAAGTATTGTTTTGCCTGTGACAAATGTGTTTTGCCAGTGACAAATACATTTTTTCCTTTTCATAATTAAAGTTAAGTTTCTCTTCACCAGGCATGGCCCGTGCATCTTTGAGAGCTATGTCCAACACAAGCTTTGCCAGCACCGGGACAGCTACTCTGGGTTGTTAATCCACTCTTCTCCAAGGAGGAGTTTCGTATTTATGCGGCAGCCAACACGTAGAAAAAAAACGACTTACTGCTGCCAGGTGGATGTGTAAATGCTGAGGGGATCCGGCAGTGCCACAGCCAGCACCAGGGAGCGGGGCAGAGCCACCAGCCCTGCACCCCAGCACTGCCAGAGTCACCATGGGAGGAGCATCATTAGCGGCCCACGTCCAGCCGTCCCTCGTCCCACGGCTGCCACAACCAGCCAGCTGGGCAAGAGCCCGCGGGCAGCAAACGTGGAAGGGCAGCAATGCCAAAAGCCCACGGCAGACATAGCTTTCCTCCTTTAATAACACTCCAGAAAATACTCCCTTTTGGAGGAGGGGCTGCATTTTGCATGGTATAATTCAATATGTTCAGCTATGTACACTGATATTCCATACATCCCACCGTGCTGCTGGGGACGGGCGGCCAGCACCCCCCCACAGCACCAGTACGGGGAGGTCCAGCCTTGGCTCCAGCTGAATTTTACCTTTTTCACCCAGAAACAAGTACAGAGACCCCAGAGCAAATATTTAGGGGAGCAGACAATTTGCTGCCAGGTACTTGGGCACCAGTCGGATTCAGACACTTGGTGAATCAGGCAGGAAAAGGGTTTGGCTTTTGAGGCAGCACATTTTTGACTGACAGCCTGCTGAGCTTTTCCTGCCCAGAGCAGAAGACAGAGCATCTCCCAGCCTCGCAGGACCGATGGGGATCTCCTGCTTGAAGGTGCTTCAATAGCCCATGGCAATGGGGATACATCCAAACCTCAGGAAGGGAGATACCAGCTGTGTTTCCTAAGGTGCAGCAGCTCTACAGATGGGGAATGAGTCACTGCTCTATGGAATATAAGGGTCTTACTGAATTAAAAAAAATAATCACCACCAGCACGTCATTGTGTTTGAAGGCTACTCATTGCTATCCCCTGGGAAAACCTCACGTCACACAGCGTTTCCCGTTACCTTCCTCCGATTCCTGGCGGTCGGTCCCCGTGTCCTGGGTGTCAGCTGATCCCTGCTGTAGCGTCCCATCGCTCTCCTCTTGCTTCTCTTTAGGAAATACAAAGCACAAGAAATGGACTGATGGAGCAGCGAGTGACAATGATCAGGTTTTAACGGGTTTTTAGTCACATATTGTCCATCTCACCCTGTGTAACCGCTGGTTCAAATTTGTCCCCGAACTCTGAATTACTCTGAGTTATTGTTACAACTACTACAGGTCAGGAATGTTGACTAATGCACATGGTACATCCCATTATTCATAAGGCCACTGGGCATTGGAAGGGGTTGCCCAGGGCAGTGATGGAGTCCCCATCCCTGGAGGGATTTAAAAGCCGGGTAGATGAGGTGCTCAGAGATCTGGTTTAGCAGTGGACAGGTACAGTTGGACTCAATGATCTCAAAGGTCTTTTCCAACCAAATGATTCTGTGATTCTATAGATAAAATAGAGCTTTTCTTTCCAGTCACTTAAAGAAGTGCAGCCTCATACTTTACCTTCATGTTGCTTCTCTCCATCAGAATCCCCGGGTGTTACATCCTCTGCCAATGAATTTCCATTTTCCTCTGGATTTTCCTTTGCGAGTGCAGGGTCGGGGCTTGTTTCTGCGTTCACATAAGGAACCGTCCCGGCAGCATCTGCCATTTCCTCGATGACCTGGAGTGGGCCCTTCTCCGGGGGAACGCTCCCGTTGCACTCGGGCATGGTGGATGCCACCGGCACTTCCTCAGTCATTCCTGGGGCTGTGCCGTGCTGTGCCACACGTGCCGAAGGGGCTGTCGGGTGCCGGGCCCCAGCTCCTGCACCCCGGGCTGCTCCTCACCCCTTTGTCCCGGGGTGTTTGTCCCCCACTCCCACTGCCAAGGCGCGTCTCCCTTCACCAGCACCGGGGTGGCAGAGCAGGGTCCGCGGCCGCGCCGTCAGTGTGCCCGGGGCTTGCCAGGGGTGCTCCAATCAGCCCCTCGCTCGTTGCTGAGGCTCGTCCCGTGGCATAATTAAATGCAGCATTTTCATTTACATAAACAAACAATCTGAAGCAAGGCAGCTTTTGTGCTGGCGTGGAGAGCGGGTCTCTGGGCATGTCAGCCCCGTGGTAATCAACAGAGATTTTGTGCTCTGGGCACAATGGCTCTTTGTGTCCCCGCCTGGTCACGGGGACGAGGATTGTTCTGGCCGCTAATCCCCAGAGGGTGACCACCTTCCCCAGTGCCGCTGCCACCTAACCCGCTTAACATTCCCCATGGCTTTGTGTGCCCATAAACCTGGCCGTGCCGCCAGCCACACAATGGGCGCGTTCAGAGCTTGTCAGGACACAGAGCGGCCGCTCGGATGGGCACATGCAGGTTTTGCCAATT